TCTTTCGTTCTATACTCAGAACAAGAACGAGTTTAGCGGATCGCAATCCGCTTACTCCAATAGTAATTATTGCCTTAACTCAAGGCTAATTAACTATTCGGTTCAAATTCAAAAATGACATTATTTATTTTTATCTGCGGCAAAGCCGCCTAATTTTAAATGCATAGATTTTCCCAAATATGTATAGTAAAATCTAGTTACATGTATATCTACTGGCTATGTAGCCCCGTACTGTATTCTTGTTTGGGTGTGGTCACACCATGCACAATCTGGTGTGTTACCCCGTTACACTTTGGCTGGCCGCTCGATCAGATGGATGTTGTAAGGGCCTTTCTCTATGGAGTTATGAAAGAAGTCGTCTTTGTGTAATACCAGAAGGAGTGGAATGTGCTGGTAATTTTGATTGCTGAGAGCTAGTCAAGGCAATTTACGGCCTTAAACAAGCTTCGCGTATGGTATGAAACGTTTGACACTTTTCTATGCTCGATTAGGTTGCAAGTCTCAGCATTTGATCCGTGCCTATACACTACGTGCGCGAATGATCGTTTGCTTGTTTACGTCGACAATGTCCTGGTCACTGGTAGCTCGCTTGGGCTGTTGAAGTTGCGTCTCGTCGTGCAGATTAGTGGTGCCAAGGAAGCGTTTCGTCTAGCAGCCGCCAACCGGTAGATATCGGTATTAACGGTGTGAACAGGCTGATTGCGCAAGTTGCGATGTTGTGGGTTCCTCAAGTATCCAGCAAAGAGGCTATTCACAAGCGCTGAAATTCGGTGAAGAAAATCTTTCGCTATCTTCAAGGGACTAAGTCGTTTGGTATTTGTTGCAAGCCCGGCAACAAGGTTGACTCTTATGGATATTCAGATGCAGACTGGGCTGCGATCATGCCGATCGCAAGTCGACATCCGGCTAAGCATTTACTCTAGTGGGCGCTCCAATAAGCTGGGATAATAAGAAGCAATCAAGAGTATCTTTGTCGACAAACGAAGCGGATTACATTGCTTTGAGTCTGGCTGTTCAAGAAGGCAAATGGATTCATCGTTTACTGTGCTGAATTCTAGCAGCGGCTAGCCAACAAGGACCAGAGCTCATAATTTTTGACGATAATCAGTCGTGCATCAAGATGATAAAAAACCCTGTTAATCATGGTCGTGCCAAGAATTGACATCAAAAATCACCACTTTCGTGATAAGGTCAAACGTGGTGAAGTGAAACTCAAGTACTGCGAGACCTTGACTATGCTGGCCGACCTTATGACCATAGCACTGTCAGGAGCACGACACAAGGATTTAACGACGGCACTCGGCATTATCGCATGTTCTCATTGAGGGGGATTATTACGAATAACAAGTACACTGGTGTGTGTTTTTCCTCGTCTATCCAATTCGAACGAACTCCATGTGCTGTTCACTGATTGGCTTAGAGGTAGCAACTAGATTGTAAGCTAAGTAACAAAAATATATTCACTTTGGAATTCTCCTTCTACCACCCAAGTCTCTTCGGTCAGCTCTTCACCTACAGATACCTTCGCTCTACGCATCTAATAAGCTGCCTCTGGTTCGCTCGGTCTAGGACGCGTATGATGCATGGTCGCGGCTGGAAGGCCATTTTGAGAAGCAGAGCTTGGAAAATAAGATATTTTTCGTCGTCGATTCTTCACAGCCAAAATGGGTGAAGGTGATGATGTGCTCACGCACATCAACAAGATGAAAACTTTTGCGGAACAGCTCGATGCGGTGGGCGCGTCCGTAACTGAAGATGACTTGGTTACAACGCTTCTTGGAAGTCTCAGTAAGTCGTTTGCATTTCTCATCACAGCTTTGGAGTCAAGGTCGGACTCGTTGTCGTGGGAGCTTGTGACGTCTCGGTTGCTGCACGAAGACATGAAGCGCAAGGAACAAGGTGGAAGTATTGATGGTGTTGCACATGGTCAAGGGCAAGCGTTTACGATGAAAGACAGCGGTCGACGCAAAGGTCGTACTGCTCCAGCGGAAGCATCAAGTACATGTCATTACTGTGGTGAGCTTGGACATTGGACTACTAAATGCCCAGCTCGCATCCGTGAAAACACATAGCTTCAAAGATCGCAGCGTGCAAATTTTGCCCAGAGCGAGGACTACTCGGGTGATTACCGCTTTTCGGTTGGTGGGAATAAGTGCGTCACCAAATCAAGCTGCGTATGGCTGGTCGATTGGGGTGCAACACAGCATATGACGTACTCGAAAGAGTATATGAAGAATTATAAGATTATGACTCCGGTCGACGTGCATCTTGCGGATGATGGCATCATTCAGGCGGTTGGCTCGGGTGATATCGTCATGACAATGGATACGCCATGTGGAATGAAGAATGGTGTGCTTTCTTCAGTGTGTCACAATCCGAAGCTTTCTCGTAATCTGTTCTCCGCTGAACGTTTTTACAAAAGATGTGAACCCGGTCATTTTTGAGCGTGATGGTTGCTTTGAAAGGTCTACGCTGGAAGGGTTGTTCATGTTGTGGACGCCTCCAATTTTGGTGGATGAAGCTAATGCGACGAGTTTATTGGGATGCTATGGGGACACCGCGTCGTACCTCTAGCACCTTCGTCTTAGTCACATCGGCTATTTTAGTCTAAATGATATTGTGAAGAAAAACTGTGGTATTAGCATAGAACTTGCATAGGACTTACATCGGTTAAGCAGTGGGACGGCTGCTCCTTTCATGCTGTGTATCGTGGTTGATCAGACACACCGTAGCGAATGCGTCTGGTGTAATCAGGAACGCTGTGGCATGTCTGGAATCGTCACAAACGTACGTGACTTGATATCTTAGCTCCTGACAACGTGAAAGGACGTTTGAGTGCGTGAACGGCTGCCGATGCGTCAAACGGATGCGTTTGATTTAATCATAAACGCTGTAGCATGTCTGGAAGCGTCACAAACGTATGTGACTTGAAATCTTAGCTTCTGACAACATGAAAGACGTTTGAGGGCGTTAACGAGCATTTTGATGCAAAAATCATTGCCGCTGCGTCAAACAAATCCGTAAAATCGAATCAGTTTTGCTGTAACACGTGTGGAAGTGTCTATATTGATATGATCACGTTACGAGCATTTCGATGCCATAATCATTGCCGCCACGTCCAACGCATTCGGAAAATTGAATTAGTTTTCTTGTAGCACGTCTGGAAGCGTCAATATTGATATGATTACGTTACGAGCATT